CATAGTGAGAACTTTTTTATACTATTATATTATAAAATAGACAAACACATATTGATATCTAATTAATAAAAAAATAACAAAAAATAATAAAATAATAAAAATAAAAAAATAGTAAAGTAAGTTTGCCTGAAGTCGATTACATCGCAATAAGTAATACCATCCTATGGCTAAGAATAGTTATTTTACTGATGCTGTAGTTATACAAATTGAGAAAATACGGGTTGCTATAAGATGTAATTCTATAGCAACCCCCTTACAAAACTTCCAATATTATAAAATATCTTCGAATTGAATAAAAGTTTTTCTATCAAACAGATATTTTTCATTTTCATATAATTATAATTCACGTAAAATAGAACGTGGGGGTTTACTAATCCAAGATTTATAATAATATACAACTCATTGTTCCAGATTTGTAAAAGACAAATCATCATTGCATTGATTAAATTGTTTAATATGGTAATTTGGATGTAATAAAAAAGATAAAAGCAACAATGGCTGCTCCCAAGCAGACCATCGCTTTTCTAATTTTGTTATTAAATAATCTTTAAATGCTTCATCTGAAATACTTTTAATTACTTGATACACCCATCCGAAACTATATAGAACTTCAGTAAGACAACCTTTATCATGTTGAAGTTTATTTAAGAATGCCATATATGGTTCAAGAAGAACCTTTAACTGCATAAGATTTTTTCACCATTTACTATTTGAAATATTTGAAAGAATACTTTTGAAAAAATCTTTAAGACTATCATCATTTTCTTCTTCAATTTTTGTGGCCAAATTTTTAAGAGCAGTACGAGATTTAATAATACTTGCAAAACATAAGTAGTGACTATTTTATCGAATAGAATTCAGTGATACAAAAGAAACGTATGACTTATATATAGCCATTTGCTCAGAATGAAGGCGCTCCAAAAAAAAAGTTGATCAAAAAAAAAAAGATACCAAATAAATAGCTTCTTCAGCAACAACTGAAAATAAATTTGAGTTCTTAAAAATATCTCCAATGCACAAGTTCATCTAATGTGCGAAGCACAAAATAAATACAATCTCAGGATATAATCATCATAAACGTTTTCTAAATTTAATAAGTATATAAATATATTAATTAAAAACTTAGTATATATATATATATATTATATTATCTAGCTGTTTTATATTCAGGTGCACAATCTGTTACAATAGCATTAACTTTAATTTTTTCTTTTTTTAGATCACTAAGCATATTTTCAGTTCAACACTGTACATTAAACCATTTTGTACATTCATTTAATATATCCTTCACATTCCAAACAAGAACCCTGCCCATAGAGATAACTAAAATACTTCCAAAAATTGATTCTTTTTTAATATTTTTTCAGCCATCGTACGCTAATGTAATCCCATCTTTATCATTTTGTGCTATTTCTTTAATTGATTTGGTTATTTTTTGTGTAGATTCAAATAAAATTTGACCACTAAGATTTTTTTGTGATGGCAATTTAATTAAAGAATGAACAAATTCAAAAAGCATCTTTATTTCTGGATTTTCTACCCATGAAAAAGCCCAACCACATGATACAGTTGCTTTAAGTATAAGTTGTTCAAAATGTTTTTGTTATTCTTCATTTAGGGGCTGGAAACAATAATGATCAAGTGTATTTTTTCTAATACTAGCCATTGAGTTTTTTGATGAAGAAGCCTCAGATAAGTTTTTTGATGAAGAAGCTTCAGAATTATCATCAGAATTTTCTTGTTTAGCTAAACCAAAAACAAATTAATAATTATATATATAAAACTTATTAGAACTATACTAATTAATATACTTACGGTTATTAGCTACTAAAATGGATTTGCTCAAAATTTCTGCTTGCTCTGATTCATTGTATTTTTGCTTAAAATAAATACAATTTTTTAGGTGATGATGAACAAGTTCTTGTGTATTTGCAAATTTATTTTTTTCTGCCTTTGCATATGAAGAACCTGATATACATTCTTTACAAACACAATATTTATTACTTTTATTTGCTTTTTCTTCAAGCATGATTATGAATTCTGATAGACGATGTAGTGGTTTACCTATATTTGCACAACAGGATAGTAAAAAAAAATTGAGAGTAAATTTTAACTTTTATTTAAATATTGTCTTCAAAACTGAACTTTTTTATTTATACTGTTTTGTATGAACAAGCATGAAACTCTTGCATGTATGAAAGTTATTAAAATAGAATTTTTTATTTTCTAGTTCTGCACAAATTTTTTATTTGATTACCACAGATTTTTTATTTTGCACCCAGAACAATTATAATTGTATATCATATTGTAATAGTACAAGTCTTAAATTTTTATTTGATTATTGTGGATTTTTTATTTAATAATAATAAAAAGCTTCGAAATTGTAAAAGTTTGAAGATTCTAATTATAATTATTGATCAAACAATAATGTAGTATAGTACTATAACACAAACTAGTGCAAAAATAAAATTTTGCACATGTAAATGTTATGATGAAGAAATTTCATTGCAAAATTATTTGTTCTCTAAATTTGCTAACGTTAAAGTCTTCCTTGTATCTGGGAAAATCTGTGCTACTGTACAGTAATGCTTTATTACATACTACTGAATTCCATTATTTGATGGTTATTTATTAAATAATGCTTTAAAAATTAAGACCAAATTTACACCAGACACCTGATTGCTACATCCAATTAACAAAATTGTGTATGAATCTAAACTCCTATGTATGCTAGAGTAAACCATCTTATGATTAGATTTTTTTGTCAGTAATCTAAAAAAGAATAAATCTCATTTTTTTTGTTGAAATTAATTTTTTCAAAAAAGTTACATTTGATTTTTTGTGAAACTTAATTAAGTTTTAAAACATACTAACTAAAAATTATATATTCTTTTAATATTAAAATTTTCTCACTTAATGTTATAAAGATTTCTAAGTAATTTCATCTTGCATTAATAATTTGAATAAGTTTGGAAGAGTTGATTTTAAAACATTGCAGCGATCTATTTTAATTTGGTTGTACGTAATTGCTACATAGTAATATTCATGCATGTGTGCATATGTATATATGTATGTACGTACATACATTATTACAAATAGTATCACATGCATGATTTTTATTAGTTAATACTGTTACACTAACATTTTTATAGTCAATATTTTATTTGAACATGGACACTATATTGACTAGTCAATGTCCAGATTTGTCTATATCCAATCAAAATTTTTATAGTTGTCTTCTGTGGTTGTAATGCAACTATTAATCAAATATACTATTAATAAAATCTGAAGTTGCAAGTACTTATTTTAATATTTAAAAAAAAATCTTTTTTTAGATTTGCATAGTCTAATGCCAGTTTGCATTTTTCTGTATAACTAGTTATATAGATTTTTTATTTTTTTTTATTTTTTTTGGTATTAAGGTGAGACCTTGCTTATATCTTTATTAATAATTTAAAATAGTTATATGTATATATGCTATGACTGAGGCCAACACTTGCAGTTA